CGGGTGTGTTAGGCGAGAATTTATGTTCAATGTTTCCTCAGTATAGGTAATATATAAACAATATCCATCAAATAAATACATATTTATAAATCTTATACTTATTACAATATATTTAAAGTCTCTGAGCTCATCGTCATTTGAGGGATTTGGGAATCCCATGCAAACTACAACATGTATATTAAAAATAAATTACAATTAAATCAAATTTAATTTTAAATCAACATTTTAATTCATCTACCAAAGTTTTTGTTTCCTTTTAAAGTACTCAAAATCTCTTTTAAAATATCCAGGATGAGAGGCTAATGGACTATTTTATCTCAATGTCGGACAGGTTTTATCAATGTTCAATCAAAAGAGCAATTTCTAGTCATTTTCTGTTAAACCTGTTGTGCCACTTATTGTACATACATATTGTAGATAAAATTCAAATCTGTAAAACCTGTAATAAATACAAAAAAACCTGCACCTGTATATAACATAGCACTTTTGTAAATATATATTTCATTACAAAGTATAAAGGGTATATTTTGCCAGACAGAGCAAGTCTCTATGTGTATCAAATGTTTTCAGGAAGAGCAGGGCTGAAGGTACAGACCTGTTCATCTTTGTAAAAGAATTTACCCAAAATTTGCCCACTGAACCAGAAATCGTTGAAATTCCCAGAAAAAACCCTCAACATTTGTAGACATTGGACTATTTAATTTTTATTTGATCTGATTCATTTCTAATACACCAAGGATTTTATTGGTATTATAACTCATATATTCAGTCTGTAAGATGGACATCATTAACGGTCCATTCTACGGATTGTTTTGGGTCTACTTGGAAATTGTCACATATTAACTGTTTGACAGTTATGTCATCACCATTATCATTGTGAACACTAACTAAAACCATAATCCCCAACGAATGACAAATTATCAAATTAATGGAAGATGAAGATTATAAAAGAACTCTTGAGGACAATAAAGATGATTATGGTGATAGCATCAAGCTAGACTGTAGGATGATCAGAATTTTACCAACAAGATTCCAAACTGTCTAAAATCAATAGTGGTTTCCATTTTATTCCATTTCTAACTTACCAGGAAATCAGACTTGTACTATTCCAGACATAATATCATTATTGGGTGTTCTCACAAAACTCAAGTTTGTCTGAAACTGAACTTTAGTGAGAATATAGATGAAATTACAGATCGGGTTAAATGGTCTGCCACCACCTAGATCATTAAGGTTTGTGTAGGTGAAACGTGAATTAAAAATGTATTTGCATCACTAACTTTTTATTAAGTATACATGTTTCTAGAACCACCTAGATTTTACTCCCTGATACTGCACCGTCTTGACCTTTTCCAGTAATTGACCACAAGGAAAACCAGATGTTGAAAAATGCATTCAACAATACTTCTAATTCTAGGGTTTGTTTGGTGAAAACTATCCAGTCAATAGAAAATACATTGGCCATGATGGATGAATAAAATTAAGTTAGATAAACAGATACAGTTTATGTTTAAAATGTATCCTAATATTTTTCGGTTCTGAATTTTTATATCGATACAAAAGGAAGAAATCAGAAATGTGTCCGTCTTGAAAACTTTATTAACGTAATCATATTAGACCATATTTACACAGAATTAAACATACATTATGCAAGAGCTAAATCTGCCTATTGCAGGTCTTTCTTTAGGCCTGAAATGTTATCTAAATTGTTAATTAGACATTAATTAACTTATCCAGATCATAATCAACTCTCAATGGCATCGCTAGCCTGCGATATTTACTGTATTAGAACCCGGTCTGCTGCTTCTGATTAAATGAAAAAATGGATAATCGAGACTATGTTTTTTATCGTACCGACTTTAACAATGATGATCGAGGCTAAGCCCAAAATTAAATCGCTAAATACTCGGTTCAGGATTGATCAATTTGACTGAAATTTTCAGCAAATTCCCTTTACATTATCTTGTTTTTAACTATTATAGTGAGAACTACCAGCTCTTTATCTAATCTCCCACAATGTATCTTTAAAAACTTTTCTTGATATAATATTATTCAAAATAAAACCACGCCCACAATTTTGAGAGATGGATAGAGAACAATCTAAAAAGAAAGTGATTTTCCCTACAATCAAGGGCTATAATTCAGGAAATTACAATTCGATATGTGCAAATATCAAAAGGAATCGAGATCTTTGGGTTATAAACTTACATTTCACGTTTCAACAAAATCGAATAGAGATAGGTTGCCAGGCAAAGAAATATATGCCCACAGCGGCTAAATCGTCCGAGCGGTTGGCAAGGGTTGTCGCATATTTATTCCTTTGTAGGTAATTGGGGGCCTTTACAAGACAGTTCCATACAGATCAGATTATAATTTTTGCTGTTTGAGGGTTCACAAGGTTCTACAAATTGAAACAAGGGTCTCAACTCTGGAAGTAATCTACAGAAATTGTTGAAATTTGACAGGCTTTTTCGTTTCACAAATTTAAATGATGCATATAAATTTCATACATATCGGATGATAACTTTCATCAATCGAGAATTAACAAGGTTGAACAAAGTCAAACAAGGGCAATAACTCCAGAAGTAATAAATGGAAATTGCTGAAATTCAATAGGATTCTTCTCTTTACTAATCTAAATGACGCACGTAAATTTCATACAGATCAGCATATAACTTTTGATGTTAGAGCATTCACAAAGTTCAATAAAGTGAAACACGGGCCATAACTCTAGACGTAATAAACAGAAATTGCTGAAATTCAATAAGCTTCTTCATTTCACTTATTTAAATAATGCATATAAATTTCAGAAAGATCAGATGATAACTTTTGGCGTTGGAGCGTTCACAAGGTTCAATAAAGTGAAATAAGGGCCATAACTCTAGACATAATACACAGAAATTGCTGAAATTCAATAGGCGTCTTCATTTCACTAATTTAAATAATGCATATAAATTTCAGAAAGATAGGATGATAACTTCTGGGGTTAGAGTGTTCACAAGGTTAAACAAAGTGAAACAAGGGCCATAACTCTAGAAGTAATAAACATAATTTTGCTGAAATTCAATAGGCTTCTTCGTTTCCCTAATTCAAATATTGCATATAAATTTCACAAAGATCGGATGTTAACTTTTGGCATTAGAGCTTTCACAAGGTTCAATATAGTGAAATAAGGGCCATAACTCTAGACATAATACACAGAAATTGCTGAAATTCAATAGGCGTCTTCATTTCACTAATTTAAATAATGCATATAAATTTGAGAAAGATAGGATGATAACTTTTGGGGTAAGAGCGTTCACAAGGTTAAACAAAGTGAAACAAGGGCCATAACTCTAGAAGTAATAAACGGAAATTGCTGAAATTCAATAGGCCTCTTTGTGTACCTAATTCAAATATTTCACATAAATTTCACAAAGATCGGATGTTAACTTTTGGCATTAGAGCGTTAACAAGGTTCAACAAAGTGAAACAAGGGCCATAACTCTAGACATTATAAACAGAAATTATTGAAATTAAATAGGCTTCTTCGTTTCACTAATTTAAATAATGCATATAAATTTCAGAAAGATAGGATGATAACTTTTGGGGTTAGAGCGTTCACAAGGTTAAACAAAGTGAAACAAGGGCCATAACTCTAGAAGTAATAAACGGAAATTGGTGAAAATCAATAGGCTTCTTCGTTTCCCTAATATAAATATTGCATATAAATTTCACATAGATCGGATGATAAATTTTGGCATTAGAGCGTTCACAAGGTTCAACAAAGTGAAACAGGGGCCATAACTCTAGACATTAGAAACGGAAATTATGGAAATTAAATAGGTTTCTTCATCTCACTAATGTTAACAAGATATATCAATTTTAAAACAATTGGATGATAACTTTTGGCGTTAGAGCGTTCACAAGAAATTGTAGACGATGGACGGACGGACTTACAGACCGACAGGGGCGACGGCAATATACGTCCACATTTCTATGTGGGCGTATAAAAATTGTGACCTCTATAGGGTCCACAACCTTGATATACCATATTTTTACCCTATTTGAGAACGAGGGGCGGCCATTTTGTCTGTCAGTTTTGGGCTGATTTTCACGAAATTCGAACTCAGCCGTCCTTAGGGTGTAACGGTGATATAATAATATGACCTCTATAGGGTCCATAAGCTAAAAACGCTATTTTTCATACAATCAGGGGCCATAATTCAGGAAGTTACAGTCCGATAAGCGCGAATATCGACAGGACCCGAAATCTTTGGGTTATAAACTTACATTTCAAGTTTCAACAAAATCACATAAAAATTGTGACCTCTATAGGGTCCACAACCTTGATATACCATATTTTTACGCTATTTGAGAACGAAGGGCGGCCATTTTGTCTGTCAGTTTTGGGCCGATTTTCACGAAATTCAAACTCAGTCATCCTTAGGGTGTAACGGTGATATAATAATACGTTTTTTTTCAAATCAGATAAAAATTATGACCTCTATAGGGTCCACAAGCTAAAAACGTGATTTTTCATACAATCATGGGCGATAAGTCAGGAAGTTACGTTCCGATATGCGCGAATATCGAAAGTAACCGAGATCTTTGGGTTATAAGCATTCATTTCAAGTTTAAACCAAATTGGATAAAAATTGTGACCTCTATACAGTGTTCACATGCTAAAAACGTGATTTTTCGTACAATCAGGGGCCATAATCCATGAAGTTACAGTCCGATACATGCCAATATCGAAAGGAACTGAGATCTTAGGGTGATAAACCTATATTTCAAGTTTCATTCAAATCGGATAAAAATTGTTACCTGTAGACTGTTCACAAACAATTGTGGACGGACAGGGGCGACGACAATATACGTCCACATGAAAATGTGGGCGTATAAAAAGGAGAAACAAGTCATACATAAACCAAAAAAATAATTATAAGTATATCCCAAAAGGTAATAATGACAATCCTCCCTCATCTAAAATTTAAATATAAATATTGCTTTTATTTCAGTGTTGATTATGAATGGTATCTCAATGAATGGTATACTTCAAGTGTTAAAGTCACAAGTCGAGGTTAAAAGGAAATGTCTTTTCCCTGATTTATGACAACATTATGCTGATAAGGAAAATATGTTCTATCATATAACTTGACAATTTGTCACAGGTGACTCTTTTCTTAAACATATGCTTTATTTACCACTTAATGTATTCCTCATGTCACCACGGTACCTATTTATTATGCAAATAAATATCCATGGTCTTTCATATAATGTGCACAATTTAAGGGGTTTAATATCTTAGTCAAGGTCGTTAATATCTACATAGAATATTATGAAATATGGTAAATATATATATATACATTTTTGCCAACTTACTTTGTATTTTTATGAATTTGTCTAATAACAATATTTATATTATTTGATAACATTTCTTGCACATACAGAAATTTGGAAAGTTTGATACTGGAATAACAAAAAAGTAATCATGGCACCAAAATATGCCAGGAATTTGTAGAATAACATGTTTTGCATATATATCTTATATTTCAGTGTTTCGGACAAAGTCTATTGCTTCTCTATAGGGTAAAAACATTGGGTGACATCAAAAGCACCAACAAAAATTTTGATCTCAAATAAAGTGTTCAATAAAAAGGAAGATCGATTCAGTTTTTTTTCCAACTGTGGATGGAAATTACAAGATAGAGCTAGGCTCAGTGAGTAAGGAGCTGACTCGCTAAAAAGGAGGTTCCAGGTCAGTCCTGTATTGGCATGCTTTCCCCTTGTCAGTGATGCAAAACAGAGCACCTGGCAAGGAACAGTGTCTAGACTTTCAGGCAATACTAAAAACTGTGTATGTACATGTTGTTGTACATATCAATAAACATCTTATCTTATCTTATCTATAAAAGAAAACCTTGCAGTTAATAAAATTAGTGAATGACATCCATAATACTTTCACTAAATGCCTTTTAAAGATGCTATAATTATTTAGATTGTAGATTAATTCATGGTACCAAGGTGGCACGTTCATTGTTTTATAAATAAGCTTTTGCTATCATCAAATGGCTGTAGCTCACTATAATCAGATGATTAAGATTGGCTGAGTGGTTTGTGAAAATTCCTCAAATCAACACTTTTAATTTTTCACCCAAATCTCAGTGCTTGACAATTAAACGCATTTTATAGAAATTAGGCCAACATTTATTAGGTAATAAAAACACTAGTAGAATATATGTATGCATGGTAAACCTCAGGAATTCTAGAAAAATGTATGAAACCACATCAAAGATAACTGATATAGTTAAGATAAACTGATATAGTTTAAAGACAAATCTAGGCGAATACTGATACGTCTATTTCTGCAAAACCAATTAATAGCTTACTCAAACTTACATTGATTTAGTATTAAAATTAAAACTTTTATAATTTTCACATTAGGTTAATTGTTTAAAGATGCATTGTGTAAAAGCTAAATTTGCCTATTGCAGATCTTTCTTTTGACTTCAGATGTTATATAATTTGTTATTAAAATACAGTTGTGATGTCATCCTTTAAGTTGGCGTATCATTATTTCAAATAATGGTACAGGCAATGTGCCAAGCGTACATTATTTATACTAGTTAACATTTTGGACCCATGTGACATATTTCATTGCAAAGCACGTGCAAGTGTCTGTATTTTAAGTTGTTTAATGGTCTTGAGCTTAAGACATTGCATAATATATTGAAACAACAACTCGTGACTACGTCATTCGTGTTGCTTCAATATATTACTTAATGTCTCGCTCTCGTCCATTAAATCACACTTAATTGGACAATTATTCACATGACAAGCCAATAATCAACACTCTAGACCACGATGTGGTTGTAATTTTGAATGGATTGAAACACGATCACCATATAATATTTTCATTTCAAAATAGATAATCAAGACTTTTTTTTTTATCGTAACAACAGTAACAATGAAAAGCAAGACTTTGTTTATTATCGTAACAACGGTAACAATGAAAATGAAGACTACGCTATTCTTTAAACAGTCATACTTTTGCTGAGAATGAAATAAATTGACTGAAATTTTGAAACCTATATTCCTATTTCATGATCTTGCTTTAAACTATTATAGGGAGAACTGTCAGCTCTTTATGTAATTCGTACATAATGCATCTTTAAAGTTTGACAGAGAAAGTGATAAAAGTATTTGTGTACAATGTGAATAATGCACAAGTAAGATTTTAAACCCCAACTATGCATACAAAATACCAAACAGGGGATATCCATATTTAATTACTTTACAAAGAAAAAGGAATTCCCAATATAAGTTTGTTCATTAGACTGGCTTCTTATAAAGAGCATCACAATATACGTCCACATTCCTGCTTTGATTGATTGATTGATTGATTGATATGGTACTTTTTAAAATGAAGAGAATGAAATATGAAATGACTGTAATATGACAAGAGGCAAAGAAGGCTATAATAGGTGTTGGGTTTGTTTTGCCAAATTTACAGACAAAATATTAACAAAAAGGGGGTCGTGCACCAACATCAATAACTGCTGTCCTTAGGGTATAAGGAATAATTATACAAAGTTCCAAGATAATCCATTCAGAATTGTGGCCTTCGGGCGCTAAAGGCAAAAATTGGGTGTGGCTCTGCCCCTGGGGGTTGGGACATTCATCAAAATCAATAGTTGACGCCCTTAACTATAGGGAATACATATGCCAAGTTGATCCATTCGCGGCCTGTAAACGATAAACACAAAGATTGGACGTGGCTCTGCCCCTGGGGGTTGGGACATGCAGTTGTCGTCCTTAGGCTATAAGGAATACATATCCCAAGTTCAAAGACGATCTATTAAGAATCGTGATCTGTAGGCAACACACAGAGACACAAAGAAAAAATGGGTGTGGCTCTGCCCCTGGGGTTTGGGCAATCACCAAAAAACAATAGGGGTCATCCTTAGGGTATAAGAAATAGGTATGCAAATTTTCAAAAGGATCTGTTAAGAATTGCAGCCTGTAGGCAAAACACAAGATACACAAATATTGGGCGTGGCTCTGTCCCAGGGGTTCGGGCAAGGGCAGCCTTAGGGTATAAGGGATAAGTATAAAAAAGTTTTCAAGACGATCGATTAAGAAATGCGGGCTGTAAGTGACACACAGACACACAAAAAGAAAATGGGTGTGGCTCTGCCCCTGGGGGATAGAAGGATTAAGTATGCAAAGTTTCAAGGTGATATGTTAATAAATGCGGTCTGTAGATGACAAACAAATAAATACAAGAAATGGTCGTGGCTCTGCCACTAGGGTCGGGCATTTTCAAGATGATCGATTAAGAATTGTGGCCTGTAGGCGACAGACACACAAAAGGAAAATGGGCGTGGCTCTGCCCCTAAGGGTTGGGCATGCACCCCAAACAATAGGGATGTTCCTTAGGGTACAAAGAATATGTATGCAAAGTTTCAAGATGATATGTTAAGAAATGCGGTCTGTAGATGACAAAGAAATACAAGAAATGGGCGTGGCTCTGCCCCTGGGGGTCGGGCATGCATCAAAAAACAATAGGGACCATCCTTAGGGTATAAGGAATAAGTATGTAAAGTTTCAAGATGATCACTTAAGAATTGTGGCCTGTAGGCGACACACAGGGGTGACGGAAATATACGTTCACATTCATATAATTAATCTATAAAAATTAATCTATGAAAATCTGTACTTTTGAAGTAAATATTTGAAATCTTCTTTACTTGATGGAAGGTAAATATGTTTTATATTTCTCACACCCCACTGAACATCTTTGTGAATGTAAATAAACTATATAACTGAGGCAGAGAAGCTACTACATGCATGTCATATGTTTTGCTTGATTACATACATGTACAATGTACTAATGTTTGCCAACTTCATAATTAAAGTATAAAATCACAGGATATTTGCCTTCATATAAAATTCACAGCTAAATCTCCATTAAGCTGTGAAACAGAATGAACACTTCAGGACGAAAATTCATTAAACTGTCACCATGACAATGTGCTGGTAATTCACAATATATCACCATGAGTTCGAAATGACCTCTCAAACTTTTTAAATATACTCTTCAAAAAAAGTAGGGGATATTCAGAAACAATACAAAACTGCAGAAATGCACCGCTGTTTTTATTAGAGGTAACAAGTGTATGTTAATAATAGGCCAATTGCCTACACATGAACATAAATAGTTCATATGGGCGGCTTATCTGACGGCCCCATTTCACTCGCAAAGAGATACACGTCAAAAGTTAAAAAAATGGACGTTTTTGATTTTTGTCTTAATAATGAGTAATTGCTCTACCAATCCTCAGACAATCAGCAATTCGTCGTGGCATGCTCCTAATCAACCGTCCAATCACAATTTTGGGCAATCTGACCCACTCCCCTTGCAGTGCCAAAGCCAATTCTTGCAGTGTTGTCGGTTGACGTTGACGAACACATCTCCCGATGAAAATAAACGTAACACACTAAAGCAAAGATACGCTAAATAGTAAATCTTATGCAAGAACCGATAGCAATGCTAACATGGATAGATAAACGCGGCAGTTTTCATTAACCCTTCCTTGAAGTATCAAATTTGACAATGAACCCTTTCCACATCATGTATTGCGCTATTGCGTGTCAAGTGTCCATGACTATTTATCATATCACAACCTGCATAGGTATTTGCATTTCAATATCCCCTACTTTTTTGAAGAGTATATCACTTTTTTTCAAAAAGTTTCAAGAAATTAAGGCAATACCCCAGACTTGTATCTCTGGCAGAAGAACTATAGATAGTTGCAGTGGAAAATGAAATGGCTTGTTAAATACCTCTCCTCTTTTTAACTTATCCAAAAAATGATTTTAAGATTCATAACAGTATAAATTATTTTTTCTTATTCACTTCTCTTTGAGATGTATGTTCAAGTTCATATTTCTCGCAAAGATAAATATTTTGTGGGGTGTTGAAAGTGGGGAGGTTTCTTTAATCCGATTGCGTTCCTGTGCCATTTGACCACCAGTCAATAAGCTGTTTAACTATAATAACATAACATTTATGTTGGTAATTCATATTATGACTTTAGTAGCCTACCGATAAGTGGCAGCGCAAGAAAGACCCTTGAATACAAGTTACCTTTAACTAGTGTCATCTTTAGGAATACGTTGTACAACATTGTAAGATAAATACTATTAAATACCCTGTGTGATATATTACATACTTTGACAGTATATACAGTCAGGTTGAACATGTATAATGCAAATCTTAAAAGCATCCTCGGATATCCCCACCTGCCCTCATTCACGCATAAAGATGTTCGACGATGCTATAAAAGTAACTTTAAGTAATAATGTGATTTTTTTCTAAACCGTTGTGCATATGACATAAGTTTATCTCAATAAGACGACGTTTGCCTTGGAATATGTAATACATATAGATAAATATAAACTTCTATCTATAAATATAACTACACATTTTTGTTATGAAGACATGGTTACGCCTCTGTTTCTGTGTAATAAATTAAATCTATTAGTGTGATGTCTTAAATCTATTTATAATAGCATGATCGGTTACACGCGATTTGTCAAACGGCATTTTGCCAACATAAACAAAATAATCAAACAGCGAAGTGGAGTTCA